TGTGTGGTACGAGTTATTCTGTCTGCGGTGAGAAGTCCCACTTTGGCTTGCCCTTTTCGAGCGAAGGGTAGGAGTTGGATGCTCGAATCCTTCCACGGGAGCCTGAATGTGTCTAGATCAGTGTTCCTCAACCCGTAGATTATTTCAATAGTTTTTTGCTGGGTCGCGAAAAATTTTCAGCTTTAAAAATGTGCAATGAAGTATGTTACCTTCACCTAAAATTTCAGGACAATTGCAGTTATGTTGAAATTATCTGATGAAAGTAAAAGGTGACTTCTTACCTGTAACAACACACCAGAAAAATTTTCACCTTCAGGAATTAATTATTTTCATTTTTAATTCTGAGAAACCTTTCTTCAAGCCTACCTTGAATTAATTTTTGATGACATTCAGCTACAGCTGCTTCATTGTTACTCAACTCAATTGCAAAAAATCATAAACGTTTGTTACCTGCCATGAAGCCTTTTAAGCAAAACTTTAGTGTGCAACTCTGTTTTAAAAGTTGTTATATTAATGCAGCAGCAGTAGTTTAAAAACTCATGTGCCTAATTTTCTGAACCCTATAATTTGGCAGTACTGTATATAAACCCTTGCCTTGTCAACCAAAAGTCAGTTGATCACCACAATCCTCTTTCAGGAGTCAGAGATCTGTTTAGCCTCCCTCAAACATCCTGTTGGATCATTTTGAGTTTTCTTGCACTCAATAAAAAAGTTTGTTGAAAAGTCTGTTTTTTTCTAGTCTTGAGTCATTGGCAATACTCCTCCACAATCAAGGGGTTAAGAACCTCAAAAGAGTTGAGACGTACTCTTTGAAGTTCCCATAGATTATTTTAGTTATCTTCAAACTTTAATTAAAGGAAATAGGATAACAATGCTTTACTGTATGTGATAATGTATTTATAAACATTACTTTTGTGGTAAATTGTATACAAATATCCCAGAAGGATTCTACAAAAAATCACGAAGTAGAATAATCCTTGATCATCAATCAAAAACACAAGTATTGAAAACAGTTGAGTATGAACAGAACTGTGTTCCTGCATGCCAAAAAAAAAAGATTTTTATGGAAAAAATTGTTTGCCATTTTTTTATGTTCTCAAGCCCCATTTTGTATATTTAGGGAAAATGCATGAGAAATGCATGCAATTAATGTAGGACAAAGGAGAATCTACATTTTAAAAAGTATTCATATTTGCCTGAACCTAAATTTAAAACAACAAAAGTTTAGTAGGAAAAAATAAACTGTGAGAGTTGTTGCTATATATGAGTTGTAGCACATTTTTCAGTTGTCCCTGTGCAACTTATAACCTCCCAGAAATTTTTTTTTTCCTGGTGCTTCTTACCTTGTGATTGGATGCGGTTTCAGCTGTGTGCTGTGTTGAAAATATTTTTTTTTTCTGATTTTAGTCTGTCAATTTCCGCTTGATGTAGAAAATGTGAGATTTCCTCCCGAAGCCTGTATTTCACAATCTTTCAGGAATGTTAGTTTTCCACGCGCATTTCGTCTGTTTGCTCTTTCCCAACCAGTTTTACAGCAGTCAAAACGAAATTAGTGCAGTTTCGATGCTTATGTCATTCCAGCAATAAAATCTCCGTTTCATCACTCCTGACTAAACTTGTTGTCCAGGTTTCACCCAGCAAAATTATTTCTCAATTTATGTGCTGTTGGAAAAACGAGTGTCTGAATGTCGATTATCCGGTTTAATCCACGTAGTGTGACTTCTCAAGAGTTTCGAATAAATTTCTAAATTTATTCTGAGTTCTGGGCGGTAAAACAGGACGAGTGTCTGAAAATAATGTAACCTATTTATTGTCATTTCCGTGTATCTTCTCGGATTTGTTGGTGGCGAGTTTCTGAAGTGGAAATTTGAATGAGAATAAAGTTCCGATATATTAACGTTACTGAAATAATTTAATTTTTGGATTGTCATGAGAGGTGAGACGTGTGTTTAAATTATTTCAAAATATTTTCAAAAGGAGTTGATAAGTAAATACAGAGAGACCCCAAGATGCGGACGTAATTGGTGCATCAAGAGTGTCCCTAAGTCAAAATGTCCCCAAGTTGAGTCTCAGTTTCCCTTAGACTTACATTATATAATATTTAATTGGTGTTTTATGTACAAAATACTCACCAAAATTCCATGAAAATAAAAATTGTCTCCCAATTTAAACTGCTTCAATCAATACATTTCAACACAATATGGACATTTATTTGGGGAATTGAATACCTCTGAACAGTACATAGAAATGTTGGCATTCTCTGCAAAAATAGCATTCAAGTGAAAAAGAGGGAAGGAAGTCCCTCTCTGCTGGAGGTTTTTTTTTTAAATCGGCTAAATGGATGGTAAATTGGTGAGAGAAATGCCCAAGAACTTTTCTTACATCAATTTTAGGCTTGGAAATATCTGTTTCTTGTGATTTGGCCTGAAATGTATTTGCAGTTTCATCACAAAATGTCCATATGTTCAGTCAGTGTCCTCATGTTGGACCTTTTTTTTATTAATTTTTAATGGGAAAATAAGTGTCCCTATGTTTAATTGTCCACATGTTGGGGTCTCACTGTATATATTGTCTATAATTAACCAGAATGTTCTCTTCCGGCGATTCGCGTGGAAAACGCTGTCATTTCCTTGTGCCTCTGCGAGTTATTTTTCTTTTGTAGTCTGTCTATTGTCTCACTGGTCTTGGTATTCTTGTATTTCGTAGTTTCGATCACCCCGGGTTTTTCTCGGACTATAATCGCGGGTCTCACGTTTTCCGTAGAGTAGAACTGTTCGTGTTTTAGTTCCTATACATACCTGAAGATGGCGCGTGTTGTAGACGAGGCAACGAGACAGGACATCATAGCTTTGGTGAAGCTGCAAAATGGCGGAGCTCCAGTTGAAAGCCTCGCGAGTTGGTTTGAACAGCACGTTTCTTTGAGTTCTTCTTCCTGCAGTTTTGCTTGTGTTTTTATTTCAGGGGAATATTATGACATGAAAGGAGTACGCCTCAAGTTTTCCGAGTTGGGATTCAAGAATATCTTCGAACTGGTTGGAGCCATTCCGGGGTTGTGGATAGAAAATGGTCGTGTTCGTGCTGCTTCGAGTGCTGATACTCGTCACCTCGAATTACTAGTGACGAGTACGCAGTCGAAGAACAAGAAACATGGAGGATTCCACGGGGTTCCTTGTCGGAATAAACCCGCCATGCCCGTACCCGCGAAACCCATCAGGCATGATTATGCTGGTCATCAGCATTGGCGAAGTCCTGCACACAGATTCAATTACCCTCGACCTCTTGACCAGAACGTCGGCCTGAATTCAGGGTATGTCACGAGTTATTCTTGCATTTTTAAAAAAATTATTGATCATATTAATGTCACAAATGAAAATATAATACTGTATTAGCGTACCATATGCGAGCCTGTGAAATGATTATTTGATCCATGCATATTTATTCGAAGTTTGATCTAAATATTTCTGCCAAATATTTTGGAAAATTTGATAAAATATCAAATAGATTAAAAAATGAAGTATCTGTAGAATACCATTTATTCAACCCTCTGAATTTTATTTACTATACTTCTGAAATCGCAAGTGCTGAAATTACAGTAAATTTTCTTCCTCCTTTGGCAAATTAGTTCAAGTGCTGGTCGTAGCAATAATATAATATGACTTGGATAAAAATATAATAAAGGTACTGCATAGAAATAAATGGGATTATATTCAGTCTTCATTTGTTCTTGTGCAGCCCTGATTAGTATCGCAGGTGTTTTTTTATGATTTAGTAAAAATCTCGACCGCACTTGATGAACATGATCGATCAAGTATTCTCATTTTTGTTAGGATATTTTATAGCCTGTGAATCGCCTTACAAAATAACGTTATTGTGCAAGAAATTACTTCGTTTTGTTTTTGGAAAGCCTGGGAAGACAGCTGAGCTTACTATTCGTGCGCCAAAATGCTAATTTAATTTGCATCGGTGTGTGTTTTTTGTCTCTCAATTCTTTCGATTTGAGCACTTTTCATTTTTTTTTCAGATTTGATTCAAAAGCTGCCCCGTTTGGTATCCGGGAAAAGACTTCTGAGGCTTTTGTAAACCGTGTCCCGTCTCTTGTGAATCCAAACTTGCCATCTCCGAAACGTTCGGAACACAATGGGAATTTTGAAAATGATGCTCTTTCCAAGAATCAAAAGCGTAAGTAATTTCGTGCTGACGAAACGCCCAAAAAATAAATTCTGTACCGAATTGCGACACCACGTACCAAAACTAGATTTATTCACGATTTAAAAATTTTGAAGACTGAATTAAATTATAAAAATTAATGTGAAGTGAAATCGTAACGATAAATCTAACAATTGAATCACAAATCATAATTTTTAAAAATTCCGCATTTTTTATTTGGCAGCTGAGCACCAATTTAAATAAAATGGTACAGTATAATTAACTTTGAACGCTTATAAGTTATAATTATTGTGATTCTTCTGTAGAATGAAGCCGATTTATACATTAGTCTAATCTGTGATCCTATTTTACTGTAATTAAGATTCCCGACGATTATCTCAAAATAATTCTTTGTCGAAATTTTCGGCTTTTTTTCTTTTTACAGAAAAACAGCTGCAATCAGCTGTTGCTCAGGTCAAGGACTTCACTTCCACCGGAGTCCAGTGTGAACTGAATGCAAATTGCACTGTTTCTGATACTTCTGCTGGAGGTTAGTCTTCGTCGATGATTTATATATAATGAAGAATTCTTCTCCAGTATCTTGATTCATCTGTGATGGATTCCGTGATGGACATTTTTTTCATTCAACTGCTGCCCTGAAGCTATAACGGCAAACCTCATATGGATTCCAGAAATCCACAGTGCTGCCATGAGGTATATATGTGGAATGCATGATATCTCTTTCTTCCAGATTGGCATTCAGATGTGCAGAAACTTTCAATTGAGGAGCGAAAAAAGGTTGAAGATAACCTAAATTCTAGGTTGATGGAGACTCGAGAAACGGCCGACGATCTGATGTCGAAGTTGCTAGTGTTACGCTTGTTGAAGGTTGGTCAGTTATTGTTTCCTGTTGCATGTTCATTTACATTTTGTTGATCGTTGAATATTCGATTGCAGCGTAATTACGTGCTCGGATCTTTCGAAGAAAATTTTATCTATTTTTATTGTTTTAAGATGCTGGAGAAACAATTTCTCAGGAACGACACTATTGAGAAAACCTACCAAGAGTTGTACAAAGAATCCTTGTCTTTTGGGTGGGAGAAACAATTGCCAACTGAACTTTTCCGGATTCGTCACCATTCGAATGCATTCGTGGTTTGGAGAGTGTGATAATCATCATGCAATATCCTCTCACTGAATGAATCGAGTTGAAAATTATTTGTTCTGTGCGAATATTCTGAATTTTTATCTTGCCTTGCTTTAATTCGTTCAGATGAACGCGATTTTAAAATTAGTATTCAGACCATTCGGCTTTCATCTTAATTGATAGCAGACTTAAACCAAGCACATGCAAATAGGTGGAAATGATTCTTTCCATTAATATTTGAATATCCTTTTTACACTGCGGCGTGATGCGAAGATCAGCATGAAATGGTTTGAATTGGAGAATTGATCAAGGTTGTAGTGTTGTCTTGAAGGATCAATGAATGAGATATTCTGACGTTGTTTTTTGCACAATTATTTGAATCCATTCTGAATTCGATCATACTTTTCCGTGGTACCGTATGTCCAAATCCGTTCAATTGAACCACTTGAGAAGGATATGGTGCGTATGCCTGTCTTGTGTTATCTTCCGGCGTTTGCAGTGAAACCTTAGCCTTTTCGGAGCACGTGTTTATGCACCTTTTCTTCATTTGGGATATGAAACACTGGAGGATTGCGAATTATGCATCGTTCTCAATACAGTATTGTGTTACAGAATTCTCTCGTTGTGCTTTCGATAGGTAGCGAAGAAATGTGTGATGAAGCAATAAGTGATGCGAGAATTTAATCCGAATTCTGGTTTTCGTGCGTTGTTTCTTGAATTACATCGAGTTACCGGCATTCTTTCGGATACGGTGGTTGAGTTCGCCCTAAGATAACGTGATCTAGGGCTTTAGAGAACCAGCAAAATCCCGGTTGTTGCATGAATACTTCTGGCTCCTCGACAATGATGCCGAAAGCAAAATGGATGAATGGCGCTTTTTATCGTCAACATAACTTTCGAAGGGTGATTGTGCTTTTGCGTTGATTCGAACACGCTCAGAAGGGCCAGCACGCGTCGAGATACAGTAGTGCTATTGAGAGGAATGATGTAAAATTTGACGATTTTCCAGGAAATTAAGTGGGTCGATGAACGTGGAACAGTCTCGTGCTAGTGGTCTCCTGAAGATCCGCTTGTTTCGCGCGATGCTCGCCCTGCGACAAGGAAGTTGGCGTGAATTAGATTAGCTACGATTCTTTTCCGGTGTTGCACTGTTTCGGAGCCAATATGCCTACCCGCAATGATCCAGTGTGTTCTGGATTCTTGATTTTGGCTGCGATGTGTCTCATTCCGTCTCCGCCGTGTCGAGCCTTTATCCTCTTGTCACACTCGTCTTCACGGCTGTACGAAGCCGGACAGACATACACTTACGACTATTTCACAACTGTCACACTGGACGAGCCTAATGGTCGGTTTTCGAGTTCCACGAAGAATGTTGGTTACCAGATCACGGCTGATGTGCACGTTCAATCCGTCTGGCAGAATCCTACGCAACGCCTTCTTCAAATTTCGGTTAGTTTCTGAAATCCGCCAATTTCACAGAAAAAACAAGGTGGGAGGAAATGTTTCGCCGGGTAATTTCTGAATTGAAGAATTAAAGGGCAGCATGATCACAGTGCCAAAATTACTTGAAAAAAGGATCTCTAGCGCGAAAACGGAATTGCGTTTATCTCCCGGTCTTGCTTCGGATTGAGGACAAAACAGATTTTTCTCAGATTCATGTTTCAAAAAAGGACTGACGTGTATCCGTTGATCCTTAGAGAGATTGTTCAGAAATATACATGGGTAACTTCGACCATTTTTTTTTTCTTTCTTAGCTTGACAACCCGTACTTGTTTGTTCGGTCAAGAAAAGCGCCAACGCCAGAAGGATTCGCTGTCCATTCCTCCGGACTATCGTCACTTCCTCGGTATCCTTTGTATGTCGTCTGGTCTCCAGGCAATGTTTCAACTGTTTTCTACGTCGAATCAGACAGCCGAACGCTGGTGAACATGAAGAAAGGAATCGCCAGTCTTTTCCAGGTACCGGAAAAAGTGTCTACATTCTGTGCGAAGTTTTTCTGACTTGTTTCGGTCGAAGATGAGCAGATGAAAACCTGAACTCTTTTTCCTTCTCTCTCCTCGTTGTTGGGTAAATTTCAAAGAAATGATGAAAAAAATTATTTTGTGCAGTACGAATTAACAGCGAAGACGACGGAGGAAGTGGATACTTCAGGCTTGTGTCAAGTCAGTTATTTAGGAGACGCTGTGGCGGAGCGAGTGATTGTCAAGAAGAAACGTAGCTGTCGTGTTTCGGAGGACTCGAACATGGTTCCGCATCCCATACCAGTGGGTATTTGAATTCGATTAGGCCTATCTATTGAATCCGTTTAGGCCCATTTCAAAGTGTGAGGATTGAATTTCGGACAGTACGCCGCAACGTTCGGGGTCCTTTTTCAGGTAGCTTATTTCTCTGCATCATCGCGTAGATTTCTTCTGAATTTGTTCTGCTGAATTCAAGGCTAAATTTAGTTCCATTTTTCGTTCTGACATTCCACGAATCAAGGTCAGTCGTTAGGGTGAGCTTTTTTGTTGTTCTTGAAATTTTGGACGCTGAAACAGTTTAAGGGAAGGAATCATTTCGAGCATTGATTTGCTCGAAATACTGTCGTTTCTCTATGTTCTTCCGCTGAATATTCCTCGGATGTTGGTGGATGAAAGTGCAATGAAATCTCATTACCATGAAATCATTGGGACCGATGAAACCATTAAAATAGCTCCGTTACTAAAAAAAAAATTCGTCGGAAATAACCTAATGTAGTATCAATTAACGACGTGCCTATTGAGACGGGACCTAAAAACTGATTCGTTGTGAGCGATTATTCCTTATCACGAGGTTATCCTGTGGTGAGTCTCAGTGAATTTTGCGTGACGGAATCCTTCGGAATATTCTTATGATGAAGTATGTGCAATTTTTTTCGAGGAAGTTCTTGACAGCACAAGTGGAGGAATGTGACGACTCCCATGCAAGTGCCGTTATGTCATTTTAGATTATTTTTTGCCGTTTCGTCTTCTGAATGATTTGCTCTGTTATTTTCCTAATTTTAGAGAAACTTGATTTTCACCGGAAAAGCCGGTTGCTAATATTAATTGTTCATTGCACAGTGAAAAGTTTGAATTCAGTTCTGACGAAAGCATTCTGATTCACATTTTTGTCTGTTATTTTCGGTTTTACAGGCCCTTTCAGCAGACGTGATCAGCGACATCGGTGCTTTTTATACGTTCACTCGGGAGGAAGCTATTATTGAAGAAGTGAAGTCGCAAGAGAAACACTCGTTGCATGTCCACGCGTGGAAAGATGCCGCGGGACGAGTCATGTCCGACCAGCACCTGAAATTGACGGGTTCGTTTATTTACTGAATTCTTTCTCGTAGACCGCAAAGAAGTATTTACTCGGGTACCATACGCACCCGATTTTTTCAAAAAATTTTTACGGTACTGTATTTTCAAGAAAATAAGTAAAAAGTATGAGATCGCCTTTTTATTTTGGTTATGGGTGGTGTGCCAAACTTTCTGCAGAGTTTCTGCCATTTGTGGAAAACCGACTGTACTGTTGCATCTACAGGGACTTCCAAAAATGCGGGTGCTATTGACGCTGCTACTTTAGAGAACGCAGTTGAACAGTTGAGCCATCGACTGGGTCGAAAGCTTGTGTCAGAAACGCTTCAGGTTGAAGCAGAAATCAAGCGTCATCCCGAGAACTATCCAAATGTGAGCAATTCCTCATTTTCTATTTATCCACGCGAAGTTTTATTTTTCTGATCGTTCCAACAGCTTTTTGTCTTCTCTCCAAGGCTCGGGGAAGGTGAAATTGGAATGTTTTTTTGTGGGAATTTTCCCTTCCTTTTATTTTCATTCGGAAAAATCTTTTCGAACGCGTGCAATTTATTTGTTTTTCCAGTTTGATCAGCTCGTTGATCGATTACGTGATGGTCTTGGGACTAACATGACTGGGACGATTCGCTCCGCATCCTTCTTCCTTCGGTTGCTTGTCAAGGCCAGAGAAGAAACCGCAGAAACACTTGCCAAAGTTCTCAGGGCGTCCAAAAACAAGCCCATCTTGTGAGTTGCATTCATCTCTACGTAAAATAATCGCACGAAAAAAGGCGTCCCGAAGTTTTCTTGGTTTGTTAGTTTTTCTTTCCGATTTTTTCTGTGTTGACAAGAAGCGTAATGGGCATGCTTTTTTGAAAGATTTTTTTATTAGTGTGATTCAGGCTATGCTGCCCAGAATGCCTGGCAGGTGTCGCTTGAATCGCGAACCTGACCAATTCCAATAACTTAACCTGAACCTTCCTGAGAGGAAATTTAAACTAACCTGATCGTCTAATATGAACAGAAAAAACTTCTATACTTTCATGATAATTGAATAATTGACTTGGGAATGTCTGAGAGACCTACAGTGATGGGGTCCCGAGATGTGGACGTACTGTACATCGGTGCTTGGACATTGTTCCCATGTCGTTGTTCCCATTTATGATCACATTTTCCCGTAGACTTCTATGAAAATATATTTAATTGGTTCTCCTGTTAATTGAAAATAGGAGAAAGTCCCCCAAAAAATTCAGTCATTTTTTTTCTCAACTTCAAGGTACAAAAAAAAATTATGCGGAAGAAAACCACACAGAATCTGTTGTTTTGGCATGCAAAAGAAAATGAAAAATAGCGAAGAACTAAAACAAGTCTCACTATGTTGTGTACAGATAATGGAAACATTTTATGATGCATTAATTTTGCAATGCATTTTTGTAAACGTAAATTGCTAAATTTTTTCGAAAAAATTTCAAAATTTAGGAAAATGAAATTTGAAATTTTTCTAGGAATGATAAAAAAGAGTCCGTATGTCGTGACATTGTCCAGATGCCGGGGCAGACTTTTTTAAAGTTAGAAGTGTCCCTCAGTTGAGCCGTCCGTATCTCGGGGCCCCATTGTATTTTTAAATTTTAATCCATTACACATCAATCCACTATTCTATAGGCCAGTGCTAATTGATGTGATGGCGGGTGCTCAAGCTGTGAATGCTCACAAGGCGGCCATGGCTGTTTTGGATTTCAAATCAAGCAAAGTCGACCTCGTCGAAAGGTATACTAAATCTTGATGCCTCTATACTATGCTTACGGTTCATCTCACTTCGAAAAATGTGGATTGTTTGATAGATACCTCTGGGCTGTGGCTGTGACTCCTCATCCGCCAGAGGAAATCCTGGCTGACGTCTTTCGTGTAACTCAGGGAAACGTCCCGTCGGAAAAACTGGGAGAAACTCTCTTGCTTTCTCTGGCATCGTTGGCTCATCGGTTCTGCAACGAGGAGAGCAAGTGCCAAAAAGAGGTACCGCCGCCTTCAGCACCCGTTTTTTTCTTTTTCTTGAAAAGATGCTGTGTTTGAATAAAATTAACTGCGCGACAATTTTTGTGACATCACCCTTAGTTACCCAAATACAAGACGCAGGTTTCTTTTCATCGCCTTGATGATCGCACCAATTCAGCGAGAAGTACACAGGTGGGATCTCTCTCTACAATGAAACTCAAGTGACCAGAAAAAACTTGTTGTGGAGAGAATTTTGCTGCAGAGAACCCCTATGACATGGGAAGAGTAGCCTTTGGGGGGGCCTGCAAACAATTCGTCATGCGGAGAAAATCGTTGTAGAGAGAGTCCACCTGTATTACAGTACAGTACAGCACTTCAAAGGGCATTAATTGAAGAAAGTTGATTTTACTATCTTCAAGGTAACCATTTTTTTAATGAATTCGTACGAAAGTATCGTTCCCAGAAAAGTGGGACCCCGAGATACGGACGTAACTGGTGCTTGAACCTCGTTACTGTGTCAAAACGTTCGCATATCGGATCAGCTTTTCCCGTAGACTGGAGCATATTTAATTGGTTCTCCCGTTGATCAAAAATTAGGAAAAAGTCCTCCAAAAATTTGAATGAACCGTGTTTCTCAAGTTGAAGATGCAGCAGAAAATAACTGTGCGGAAGAAAAGCTACGCAGAATCTGATGTTTTGGCATGCAAGCAAAGAACTAGCCCAAGTCTTGCTATGTTGTGCACAGATGATGAAAGAATTTCTGAAGAAAAGTTACTCAAAATTATTCTGTTTTGGATTATGAATTGGAGAAAATGTAGGATGCAACTTATTCTAAATGTTTGTGAATACCGTATAAACAACTCAGTTTGTCCCAAAGATTAGAAATAAAATAGAGTAAAATTTCTCTATAAATTTTGGCAAAGTGTCAGTTTCTCAAGAGATTGTCCACATGTTGAGGAATATTTTTTCAATCTCAATCGGCTGTATGTCAGAGCCTCACTGTAAGAAAAATTGGATCCTCCTCGTGCATTGAACATTTGTTATCGTGCCTTTTTTGCATAAAATATTGTACCTGTTGGGGAGGGGAAGAGTGCATTCACGTAAAAAAAAATGAAATGTCAATTTAAAATTTAATATTTTCTTAGATCGTGATTCGGATCCGGTATTTTCTGCGCGGGGAGCTGAAGAAATGCAAAGAATTGGACTGCAAACTGCGGTATTTGCGAGCGCTGAGCAATTTGCGAAGTGTGGAGAATGTTGACCTTTTCCTGCGTTACATTGAGAAGGATGAGAGAAAAGTTGGTGTAGCTGCTGCCAAGGCCTTGCAAATGTTGCCATTGGGATACTTCGATTCTAAAAGTCTGAATGCGCTTGAGCAAATTTACGCGCAGCTACGGAAGAAGCACGACTCAACTGGTACAGTATTTTGCGGAGTTTTTTAAAAATGTTATTTATTATTAAATCAATCAATTTGTTATGATGGACCAGGAGTGAGAAGCGCTTGGCTAAGGAGTATTTTTTAATTATTAAATGATCTGATTAATGAAGCGAAGAGGTTCTGTGTGTTTTTCGATTTTCCTGCAAGAAGTGAGAGAGAATCCACCTGTATCAGAAAGAAAATCTCGTCGATTTTTTGAGTCGAAACCTCTATTCCTTTTTTTTTTTCGTCTCGCCTTCCAGTTCAGGCAATCGCAGCAGATATTCTTCTCAGGAAGGACCCACCCATCGATCGACTGGCTTTCATGCTGTCCACACTTTCTGAGCAGGATTCACACGAACTCAGGACGTTTGTAGCCGAACGGATCCGGGACTTGACCCGACTCGACCCGGATTTGCAGCGAAAACTTTCTTTTCTCCTGGCGGACGACACCAAGTGGTGCGGGTATAACTTGTGGGCACAGCGCGGAAGATCCACGGCGTTCACGCGTTATTTGTACGACGATGTTGGGCGGGGCAGCAACGGGACCTTCGTGGCCGCCATGGAGTTGGGCGGCGGAATGATCAAGAGGATCAAGTTTGACGTGAATGTGGGCGAGGAGAACTCGTTGTCTACTTTGCTAACGGTGAGATTCTATGAGAGAGATCTCCGCAGTAATCCGAGGACCGGTCGAGAGCGACATCTACCAACTACTTTGTCTTGGCGCTGAGTTTTGGTAGCGCGAAGAGGGCGAGGAATGCATTGGATTCCTTTTTGTAGATGTCGCTGGTGCATGTGCACTGTTCTTTGAGGGTGCCCGTTCTAACTGCTGTATAGTCGAACTGCAGTAATTGCAGGACTTCGTATTTGGTGATATTTTGGGCCTCTAATTGCTTCTTTAATGAGTTTATGGGGTGCTGAAGTTAAAAGGCAAGGGTTTATTTGCCCAATAGGTCCGTCACTTACTCGTAAAAACATGTTAAGTTACCTCTTTAATGCTTTTATTTTTCATGTATGAATAAAATGATGGGCAAAAGGTCTCCAGAAAATTTGATTTATGGAGGTTTGAGAGGGGAAGCCATTGAATTAGGAACGTTTTTTATGCATTTTCCCCAAGGAAATTAGACAAGGACTTGCAAAATATATGACAAAGGGAGGTATTCAACTTGGAAAGGTGTGATGAGCAGTAATGAGGTTTAACTTTATTTTTTTCATATTTCCTAAACCGAGATTTTCGAGTTCAACCCGAAATCAGTTTCCCGTATTTGTGAAGTTTTCGTTTTTTTCTTGTATGTTATCAGCTCGGAGTGTTTGCCAGAGGACTGCATTCGTTTAGCAACAAGCATACGGCGGTTGACCCAGAAGATGCTGACGAATCCGCCACTGCCGGGTTCGAGTTGTCCCTGTTGGGTTCTCAACTGCGGCCCTTCGTGTTCTTCAGTGGGGCTGGAGAGTTGATGGGCCACTTGTGGTCTGGCACAGCGTCCTCTCGAACACCTGCGCTCCAGGTATGTTCGACCTGAATGCAATACTGTAACGTAGCTAGAAAAAAAAAATTAGAAACCCGTTGACTTCAAATGTGCTGTATTTTTTGCTTGACTACTTCGAATACGTGGGTTGGCCTGTGATCCAGGTCTTTTTCTTTTTTCCTTCTGTACCTGAATGTAGGCGATGAAAAATTCATTTGACACCAATGAAGAATTAAAGAGCGACAGAAAAAAAGTGCATCTGCTTCCAATGATGACAAGTGGCTGTTCATCATCTTTTACAAACCAACCCTCGTACTTCTTGTGCAGAAAAAAAAATCGTTATAGAAAGAGTCCGCCTGTATGATGAAGACAATGATCAAATTAATGAGGGACTGTTGAACCTTCATGCATCATCCTTCTTTGATGCAAATTAAAAGTAATAATAATCGACCCATTGAATACAAATTAGTAGTGCTCATAAAAAAATCACATGTTCCTTTATGTAGATAACATTCCTGCCTTTTTTTCATTTGCAGGGAACGTATGTGCTGCATGATCACAGACAGAAAATACCCCTGAGCAATGGAGTCGTGGCGGAGTTGAGTTTGCTTGGAGGCGTTTCTCTGGACCTTGGTGGGCAAATTGAAATGAGCTTGTGGTACAAGACTGCGCACTCTGTTATTGACGAAAAGTAAGTCTTCAGTTTTTTCTCGTGTCGAGGATTGAAGTTACTCCCTGTTCTTTGACGACATCTATTGCAGGTCAATTCTAACCTACTATCGTCATGCAAGAATTGAATGCATTTTTTTTTAATCTTTGATTAACAAATAAATTTTATGATTTCTTCTGAGTTCCGTGTGCCATAATCTTGAAAGAAAAATTTCGATCTCCTTTATGATTATTTTGCAGAGCTGCGTTTGTAATTCGAGGCTACGCAGTAGCGGATACGCCATTTGTGGAGAGTCGCCTGGAATTCAGCCTGGCGGCGGATAGTGAACTTCGACTCAATGCGGATTCGGATTTTTCTGACAAAACAGTCATGTGCATGAGAATGTCGCAACCGGAGCTTGTTCTCAAGTGAGGATCGACCTGCGAAATTACTCATTTAATTATTTCCCGCCATGTTTTATACATTCTGTATGGGATATTCCTCTGAGCGAAAAAAAATGGTTAAAGCTGTTGGTGTCATTCGTTCTCATGGATCTGTTGGGAAAAGCGGCGGCGAAAAGGAATTGTAGAATATTGTACCAAAGCTGACCGAGAGAAATGGTTTGCCAATTTTCAAACGGTAATTTGATAACTGCGAGTCCCCACATAACGGAAGACTCACACAATGAAAAATCCGCATTGCAAAAATTTTCGAGGGGTGACTAGCACGAAGAAATTGTTTTACTTGACGACATTCTTGGCTGGAAAGCGTTCGAATTCAGGCAAGTTTTGGGCTAAATCTACAACTTCTGAATTCTTTTTTTGAATCTAAAAATGGCAAAATTGTGCAATATTTGACTTTTTGTGAAAATTGAATGTCGAACTAATTTGGCAGAGTCACAGTTTGGATTATACTGTACTGTATTTATTTTTTATTCGACGTTGACTAATTTGACTCGTGTTTTTTCTTCTTTTTTTTTCAGACACAAGGTGCGGAAGTGGGAACACATCGTTGGTCAGAAGCATAAGCTGCACAAGTCGCTGAAGCGAATGCGTCTGGTTCCAGGAAGGACCTTTGTCATGAACCAGAAAAACTCGCAACTGTGTAATGTCATGTTCGGGGGAAAGTCGTGAATCTGGAGCAGAATTTTCAAACTTTTATTAATATTATAGGTAATTAATATTATAGGTAATGTGGAAAGACTTTTTTGTGGTTTTTCCGGTGGCATTTAATTGCCCAAGCGGGTTTCCGAGGTCAGATGTATTTTTGAAGGTTGTATTGAAATTATTGTTTCATTTCGGTGATTAGCCAAATTGTTGCGAAAGGAAAGCCTTGGATGAACACGTTAAGGTTTGCAGCTTCTTGAACAAAATGTTGTTATTTATGGTTATTTGAAGATTTTATTTTTCGAAAGAGTGAGCCTTGGATGAGCTCTTCAAGATTTGCAGCTTCTTGACCAAAATGTTGTTATTGATTGTTGTTGGAAGATTTTATCATTCCTTGTTTTCGATTCTCGGCATTCATTTTGAAACACAGTTGAAGCCTGAAACGAGTTTCGATGAGAATGAAAGATTCCAGTGCTGGGGGACGAAATAATGCGCGTTGCTGTGATGAGGAATACCTGAATTGTTGATGTTGAACGTGTATTAAGAGTCTAATTTGTTTTTGAGGACATGATATGCGTGTTGATTTATTTTTCTGTGATGACGGTAATGTATTCGGGAAAATTAATTGATGAACACGTTTACATTTCTTATTGCTTTCATAGCTGCATGAATATTTTTTGAATTCAAGACTTTGTACTGTACAGAAATTGTCTTCATGAACTTATTACAGTACTGCACGTCAGCCAATACTGTTCTTAGCCTTGATTCGATATTATGGATTAATGGAGCTTAATTGTAAAATTTGAGTTAGTTTGGTGTGTTGGAACATGTTTCATGCAAGGTTCGTATTTCATGACTATTCCATAACTAAAAACATATACAGTACAATACAATTTATAAGTATTGTACAGACTGCACTGTTGATGCTGTAAAATACGATTGGATGGGTTATCCACACCGGTACACGTACTGCATGCTAGTCCCTCTCCCCCAGAAATCTAAGATTCTGTTTCGACCGGAAGTTTGGGGAAGCGAATGTGCTGCCCTCAGTAGGGGAAAACGGTAACACAAGTTCGTCTCTTGAACGCGGAAATTTCAATCGCTGAATTCTTCTCTGAGGCTGTGACTGCATATATTTCTCACGATTTTCGGTTCAGTTGCTCAAGAAATTCATGAGAAAATGTAGGATAACCCGAGGGATTGCTCATTGTGAGTTGGAGATGCGAATTGAGTGCAAGTTTCATCGTCTTCAGGATTAAAAAGAAAACTCTAGAATAGCTTTTGCCCCTGCAGCCTTTCACGATTGTGATATTCATGAATGTGCGAAATTATCGAATGAGAATCTCCGAATGCCTACGGATATGTGATTGCGGAGTGGCGTTTCGTTTAACTCGGACATTGATGACTTGTCCCATTGACACATGGTCAATTCGATGACGAATACCCTATTTTAACTGACACAACGATAATTGTATCCCATCTAAGTTTTTAAGCCAGATACTGTTGTCAGATGCCATCGGCGAAAGAGAAGGTCAAGCTCATAGATTTGAAACTGCCTCAATGAAACCGAACATTCTCGTGCTTTCGAATGTGGTATCGTCTTTGTTCTGAATTTCGTGAATTGGTGTCTGTATGTGATAATCTTGTCTGAATGTTGATCGCCGTTTTTTTTTGAGGATTTTGTAGACGTGAAAAATTTTCATGAGCAAGTGATCTTCGTGTGTTCCAGAAAACTGTCCTGCGTTGCATCATGGAAGCCATGAAACGAAGTGTGTCGGAAATGCTCGAGGGCATCAATCGATACAATCCTGAGAATTTAGGGAAACTCGAGCAGTATCTTGATATGCAGTTGAGAGAGAACGGATACGATCTGGAAGCAAACCTCACTATCTTGAAGCTGTACCAATTCAATCCTGGATACTATCGAAGTGGTGTCACATGCAAGATTTTAATGAAGGCTTTAACGAATCTTCCCCATCCCGACTTTGTACTCTGCAAGTGCCTCCTGGGCTCCGAGCAAATGGAGGACAGTTCCATTAAAATCATTCTTTATCTTGGGGATTTGTTGGAGATGTGCTCTTTCCCGAAAGTTTGGCGGCTTTTGCGGGAGTCGCCTGCTATCTATGACAAAATCACCGGGTTCGAGGACTCCGTTCGACGTTACATTTCGCACATCATTGGAATCACGTGTCAGCGTATACCTAGAGCAAGCCTGAAAGCAATGATGGGAGATGTTCCGGATCCATCTCTGAACGCAATCATCGCGCAGAACAATTGGCGTGAAGAGAATCCAGATGATCCGGAAGGAGCCGTGATCGTCGGTAGCCAAGAAGATAAAGTCAAGACGAAAAATATCACGGAAAAGATCGATTTTGACAGTGTGTCCACTATCATGGCGACGTGCAAGTGAATGATTTATGTGCTTTTGTGGTAATGTACCGGAAGTCGGTGGTGAAATGATTTAGAATTCATTTCCTGTCATGATGGGTGTTTCGAATGGAGGCTAAGCTTTTCGATCATTTGAAGCTTTCAGGTGCATTTAGGATGCAGTTCTTGCATTCATTTCGCGTCGTGAGAACGTTGTTCATGTTCCTTGTTTGATTGTGACGGCGCGTGATGTGATGGCGATCCAGCGACCAGCTATTTGGGTGTCTGGGTTGATCAGTCGATTTGAAGAGCAGGTTCGTGTGAATACAGAAGAAAAATTCGAAATTTCATTTATGACACCCTTGTGAATTTTTTTTCATAGCTGCCCTTCCGCAATGGACCTCAGAGTTCGCACTCACGCCTAAACATCGAGCAGAACAAACAATGCTTGATAGAGATCTCAAAACACAAGTTTTCCGTTGTGATCTCAGGACTTACTCGTATCCTGCAACGGATTACGGAGGTGGGCGTAAGTTTGCGTCTCAGTGTCCTCATTTTCTTATCTGTTGGATTAAAATTTCATGTCTTTCATCATGAGTGAACGCTGTTGCCGTCAGTTAAACATGTGCATCCAAATCATCCGGACGAATTATAGATTATTATTATCTGAAGGGAAATTACCATGCGACGAATTCCGAGGAAAAACTTGATCCACGTAAAATTCTCAAATCAGTACAGTGATTCACAGCTCTTCAAACGAATATTTCCAAATTTTACGAAAAAGATTTCAGTTGTCATTTTAAAACTCTGTATTATTTAACGTTGAGAAATTTGTCAGCATAGTTTTCTCTGTATATTCATGCTTATCAAATTGATTTTTCCGAGTGATCATCAACTATTGACCTGTGTTTGCCCAGCTTGGTTTTTCCAGCTCGTTTCATTTCTGTTTAAAAGGTTGACAAATTCGGGTGTGTTTTGAGAATTGATTTCGTAACACCGTATTTGCCCCCTTTTTCTGATTTTAACTCAGAAACGTAAGGGTGCATACACTCGCATATTTGTGCAATTTGCGTAAATATGCGTCTATGCCAGAAAATCTTCCCGTTTCTGTCCACAAATCGATCCAGATTTTTTTTTTCGTTCTTTTGGAATTTAAGTTGAAAATGAACAAGAAATGGTCAGCTTTTAGCACTTGACTGATTTGACTGAAGGGGAACAGCAAGGATTGTGAGACAAAAGTTTTCCTCTTCAAGGGAAAACGTAAATTCAATCAGAAATTTAAGATTTTTATGATACTGTAATCGGAGCACCAGGAAAGAAACTGGTTGCTTATATTCGTCTAGATTTTTGATTTTGTGCATGAAAAAAGTCTGGAGGGGTGCGTATATTTGTGTAAATGGTTTGTAATTCTTTTAAATGTGATGGATGTTGTCTTCGACCGGAGCTTCAAGGTGTCTTTCTTGCTCCAGCGTCCGCACAACACGGAATTCGACAAGAACTACTACGAATCGCTCATCACCCTCCTTGACACGCTGGTAAAGTGTCTGAATTCTCAGCCTCGAGATGCGATGCGTCACGAGGACACGACTCAAGTGCGGCTGTTGCTTCGGGAAGTGTGTCAGTTTATGGACCCTGCAGTGGGGAACTTTGATCAGTACCACTACAACCAGAACCCCATGGAAATACAGCTCAAGTCTCTCGCGTCGCAAGTCATCTTTTCCTTGTCGCAGCACAACTTCAACGCTGTGTTCAATCGGGTTTGCGCGAGGTTGCAGGAATTGAGTACGTCCAACGAAGAGAACCCCGACTTGAGCGACATCGAGCTTATTCAGCACATTCACATTGATTTGGCGCGGTTGATTCGATTATTCAGCGGTGAGTTGGGTTGTATTTTGATGAAACATCTACCGCGCGATTTCTCGAATCTACAGTGAAATTCCGTTTTAACGAATTTTTCGCTATACCGATTTTTTTCATGGTTCAAGCAGTTTCTTCATATTTTATGAAAATTTTGTAACAAGACAATTACATTGTGATAACGAACTAATTTTCCTCGGTGATTATAACCGGATTTTTGCCATGATAAACTGTGCATGGGTCTGAGCAATTTCTAATAATTGGTACAACATCAAAAACCCGACTTTTGCATAATTGAAAAACTTTCGAAAATATGAGTGCGGATCTCTATGTACAGTAAATTTAGCATTTCAGGGAGTTCGAAGCTCAGATCAAAATTTATTTAGCTTCATCGTAGAATTTAAAAATAAATAATTTTTTTGACAAAAAGTATGCTTGATAAGGTTCTGCCATATGTCAGGTAATATACATTTGTCAATAAGCACGTGCTCTTCTTACTCATGTACACAATATTTCCTGTTTGTTTCAGCTTTTACTTTAAATCATGTTTATGGAATTCAAGGAAGAGAAGGTATTGCCTAAAATAAGGGGATTTTATTTGTCATTTTGTACCTTTTTCAGCTTAAGTTTTTCCAACATTCCCCATTGAAATCCAATTCTATGGGAACCTAAACTTCTGAATTGTTTTGAAAGTTCATGTACACCTGCGACGTGAAAACTCATTTTTCTTTCTCAATTTGGAGAGAAACAGTGCAGGTGGTTACAATACGCATGCATGTTGCAAGGAATGTATAGTTTTTTTTTTGAAAAAAGGCTTTCGATCGTGAGGCTGTCCGAATGAGTTCCTTTGCGCGATGCTTCGAACATCATTCAACCATTTTATTTCATTTTTAGAAACTATCACGAAGCTCAAATCGTTGAAGAAAACGGCGCACATTGCCCTGATCACGTCTCTGGAGAAGGCAGTGTGGACGTGGCTGGACTGTTACCCGCAAGAATTCGCCGAAATCCAGCGGAAACCCAGCGATGACCTGGCCCGGCTCTGTGACATGCTCTTTGACCAGCTGGAAGTCTCTGCGGACTCGAACCGGCGCCGGCTGGCCAACTGGCCCTTGCAACTCATTCTCCTGGCCCTGTGTCCACGAGTGCTGGAAGAGATGTTGAATGCCGAGGCTGGGGCCCCGTATTCGCCGAAACATCACAAGAAGAAAGTGCTGTTGGATCATATTAGGAAGGCGTTGGTCATTCATCATCACACTGTGTCGAAGGCCGCGACTGAAGCCGCTGTTGTGGCTTGTGTGCGGTTGTGCAAAGTCGCCACTTATATCAATACTGTGGCGGATTCTACGAATATTGTGTTCAGGTGAGGAGTCACTTGTGGAAACCTGGACAGCTCATGAGGGAAAACAAAAATCCTAGTACTGCGGCAGTTGGGGTTAATCTTTAGTTGAAAAGTTTTTTAAAAGTGTTTGTGTATTTTGTAGCCATTCGCTGCCGAAGTTCCTCACATCAGTTTGTGCTTGAATCCACTTACCGTAATTTACTCCTGAGATAATTTTTCTTCCAATTTTAAAGTCAAACTTCTCTCAAATACTGTACATGGTTTAATTGAATACAGTACTGTATCAATCTCACTTTTCTTCTTCTCAAAATTGAGAAAGAATGGTGGGTTTGTGTTGTGGGTGGGTATAAAATTTAAAAAAAGTTTTAGAACATTTTAACAAGAAACTTATTTCAATGTAAACAAAAGAAAATTAGTTGAATTCAGGATCAATTCATGTCTAAATACAAATTTGGGCATTTTTATTCTTGAAATATTGCAGTTTTGGAGTCACTATAAATGGGGTGCAAATCTTCCACGGGGCGAGGATTTTATCGACAATTTGGGGGTGCATGATAATCCGTAAATGGGGTTTTGAAATTAGCTGCTTGACAACCCATTGAGGCTCACAGCTCATACAACCTCATATTACTTACATTGAAAAATCTTCCATAAGTGTAAGCAATTTTGTCTTCATTCTTTTGAAAAATTTTGAATTTTGTTTGTAAATTGTGAGTATGTTTATTCCTTGATATATTTTTGATGCTAGGGTCACCAGGAAAAAAGTGAAATCTATTGAAGTTTTGTATACCTTGTATATTCTTGCTTGGGTACTTGTTATGTGCAGATTTGTTCGAAAGTTTCTTTGTGTACCTCATGAATACTAGTGAACAAAATATTGCATTAAAAATTATTAACAATCTAAATGGATTCAGCTTGAGGATATTTTATTGTTGGTCGGCTCTTTATTTTTTTCCGCGGGTTATTTGAGTTTAAGTGGAATCGTTGATTTGAACAACGTTGTTGGGTGTATTTTCAGGTTGTTGCAGGGCATCAACCAAGATTTGAAAGCTATTTTGTTCAACCCATCAAAGCCGTTTTGTCGTGGGAATCAGCAGCATGACATCGAATTGATGGTGGATTGCTTTGTATCCATCTTCCGAATCTCACGGGTGAATGACGACGCTTTGAAGCATTGTTTGTTGCCAACCTCGCCGCCGTCATTCCATTTTGTTTTGGTGCTCTCACTTTATAAGTAAGTACCAAGTTTCACTCCGATTCTGGATATTTTTTTATGATGCATTCTTTTCTCTTCCGATTGTCTGTTTATTTCTTATTTGAGGAATTTTAAATGAAGAATGATTTTCATTTCCGATTGATTTGTTTTTTTCGGTTTGATAACGCTTTATAACTTTTGTGCATCACGCATTTTGTAAATGTCTTTCGGTTTGATTTTGATTCTGCGATTTTTAAATTTGCCGACTAAATGTCATTGAATTTTGAACTTTGATGCGTTTTGACGCCTAAATTCTCAACAATATTAGAATATGCGTGTCATTGGGAGTTCGGGGCAACCCTCAGATGTTATGCCCAACTGCCAGGTTTTGAAATTATCTCAATTTCAATTTTTCTCCCGCATTCAAGTGGAATTTTAAATTCTCAACAATATTAGAATATGCTTGTCATTGGGAGTTTGGGTAAACCCTCAGATGTTATGCCCGACTACCAGGTTTTGTAATTATCTCAATTTCAATTTTTCTCCCGTATTTCCCAGAATTATAACCCAGGAACCATTACGCTGGTGGCCGGACATATCAATGATGTATTTTAAATCTGTGGAATTGCGAGGGATGCTTATCGACACTCTAAACAAAGTCATTCAAGGATACGTTTCACATGCTCCGCTCAAGATGCAGGTTTGTGGATTGCTTGAACGAGCGATTGATTCTGGAGAGAGAAAAAAACATGTTTATACTTCTTGAATATTGACAGGGCTTTCAGGGCTTTACGTTGAAAGAGAAGATGACTCCGTTGAAATTCAAGGAGAAGACGTTGGAGGAACCGATGAATTTTAGGAACCTGTTGTATTGGCTGGTGAAGCTCATCTGCGCCGATCCGCTGCTTTTGCTTTATGTGAGTTTCGAGTCGTTCTATTCCTGCTCCTGAAATCGGCGACGTTCAAAATTCATGAAAATGTTGTGTGATGTTCGTATGAAAGCATTTGATGTATTGTTTTCGCATGAGTTGGGCATATTTATGTCATTCAGGGAACATGTAAGTTTAGGATTTTTGGGTTTAACTTCATTTAATTTCACGCATGAAAGAGCTTTGACCTTCCTTGGAAATCTGCAGACAGCTAGTGATCTCGTCTTTTGAATTATTCCACATGTATAATTCAACATCTCATGCCAAAATCGCGGAAATGTCATTGAAGCTAATTAAGAATATTGCACCCCTTTTTTAGATGTTTATTTTCTACTGTCGTGTTCGGTTGAGTGAAAACTTTGTTATAGTACTGTAATATTAATTGTGTACCCGTTATAGTTTCATCAAAGATAACTTCGAAAAAGTGTAGATATCTTCTCCTGTTCATGCGCGACCTTTTTCTTTGTTTTACGTAAATACGCGTGAATTCAAAATCGACGCAATGGAAATACGTAATTTAAGAAGCGAAACCTGGCTGCTGAAATCATTGATTTTTTAATTTGCTTTATAGAAATCTTCAAGAAACAATTGTGAATCATTGATTGGGAGCAAGCGTTTTGGATGAGATTTCGTTCTTGTGACGATTGTTTGAATAATGTTGTGCTTGCAATTTTTTCAGAGCAAAGGAAAAGCGGGAAGTGAAGTGCAGAGCTCAACCCATGAATTGATCAATGGACTGGTTTCCCTGGTGCACCAGCAGCAAGGCATGACTGAGTTGATGCACCAGGGCATGGAAGCGTTACTGGTTCTCCATCAACCAGACAAAATCGAACTGTGGAACCCCGAGGCTCCGATTCAAACCTTTTGGGACATAAGGCAAGCCTTGAACATTATACTCGGAAGGCAGAATTGTTGATAATTCCGTTTGGTCAGGGAGAAAAACAAAATTGACGTTATTATTTGTGTATTTATTTATTTTTCTTCCGCAGCTCCCACATGATGTTCTCCATTTCACAGAAGCTGATCCAGCATCAGATTGCCAACTATTGTGAAATTTTGAAATGGCTGCGAGAGATTATGTTTTGTCGGAACAAGTTCTTGTCCAAACACAGAGATTATGCGAATCTTGGGTCCGCGATCCCGATTTGCAAACAGAGCCACATCAAACTCGAAGTGAGTGAAAAATGTAGATTCTTTCTTCTTTTTTTTCCCTCTGTTGAACCCTTCTTGTTTGTCGAGTCGGTGATTTCAATTTATTTTACATTGACGTTTGTTTTCCTCGTGCGTACTTGTGTTTGATTCAGCTGGGTTTTAGTTTGTTCAGGCTAAATTGGTCGTGTTTATTACCGAAGTGAAGCCTGTATGACGTTCCGGAAACCCTTCGCCAATATTGAACACAATTTTGCTTAAGCTTGTTGCGGTTAGATCGGCGATAAGTATAACCTCTTTAAGTCAAACTCCAAGGGACCAGTTGAGAATTCGAGTTAGGAAAACAGGCATTTTACATGGGGGAAAGTAGGAAGAATTAAAGAAAATTTCGAATTGGTGATATTCTGAGCGTTAAATTGCTTCTTGAATTTATTGACAGGTTGCTGAACTTGGATGCGAGGGTTAATTTTCCCAATTATTCTTTTGCTTACTTCAAAATGCGTCTAATTACATTTTTTGAAATTTCTTTTCTCTTCCCTGTGTCAATAAAATAATAGCCCAAAGGTTTACGTAAAATTCGAGGTATGGAGATTTGAGTGGGAAAGCCTTGAGGGAGTTAGGTTTTTAATTAGGCGACATCTGGATGAACTTCCGTAGACTCTCGTAGTTCGCCTAAATTTTTTCCGCTTGGCGGATTTTCAGAAAATAATTTTTAATAATTCCCTGTTACACCGTACAGTAAAGATTTTTGATGCACACGATTATTGTGCAGGTTGTGTTCTTGATGTACTTGTGGAGTGTGGACATTGATGCCGTGTTGGTGGCGATGTCCTGTTTCAACCTCCTGTGTGAAGAAGCAGACATTCGTTGCGCCACCGACGAAATCAGTTTATCGTCATTGTTACCAAATTATCATGTTTACCAAGAATTGGCTGCTGCTTCGACTGTGCTGACAACTGGTGAGACTGCGTTATTTTTTTTTTTTTCGAAGTAAAAAATTTGGCGAAATTCTGATACATTGGCAAATAAATGTTCGAGTTTAGATTGATTTGGAGAATAATTTTTCGGAAGAATCGCGTGCTTGCTTTTGCCTTTAAAGAAATCCGTTTGAATCGTTTCTCTCTGAAAAGCTAACATGGAAGGGAGGCTGTTTTTCCATCAGCATTATCAGGGTGAGCTTCGGGAATCGGGGTTTCTTTTGAGGATGCCTTGCGTTCGTCATTTCGTTTGCATGTGCTGAAAAAAAAAGATTGAAACGACTGCTTCAGTTAATTCGTTTCATTTTTCTAGGGAGGGCCGCCTTGCAGAAAAGAATTATGGCGTTGTTGCGGAAAATTGAAACGTGCTCGCCGGGATGCTACCAGGTTAGAATTACTTCCCCAGAGAAGACGACAAGTCTTTGATATTCAATTTGACTTGGAAAAACGACGCGATAGTTCGTTTTCCTGGTTCAATTATGTTTCAGTGGAGGTGAAAATTTTTTGGGAAGTTGATGAACCTAAAAATTTCTTCAATCAAAGTTAGGAAACTTGTGATATTCGAGAAAATTGTCTGCCACCAGTAATTTGTAAAGGGAATTTCGTGAAGTGTACCTCTTATAGGATGTAATCATTATTGGTGAAAAATGTATACTGAACTTGGATTGGGGAATCACATTAGTTTCATATTTAACCTAGAAGGCTTTGAATTAGTAATAAATCATTTACTCAGTCCCTCCCTTCGCTGATTATTTGGCGGTGCGGTTGATGGAAGTCCACATTTAAACCTAAGTTTATATGTAGGGCTGCATTTTTGCGGGAAGCAGGTAAAAATTGCTCCACAGTGCTTCAAAAGAATATACTGTTGTCCAAAAACTGTTGGAACAGAAAAGGGACTGTGGTGATCAATCACAGTTGTACTTTAGTGCTTATGGTTAAGACATTGAGTTGGAGGTTTAAATTGTTTTCTGTGACTTTTGAAGGAAATGCAGAAGTTACTCCGTGAGAGTATATTAAGTACAGTAGTTTATTTTATCCTTCACACAGTAGATACAAATACAATTCTTGCAGAGCAAAGCAACGTCAACAAGGTGTCCATTCAGAGTCACGTGCAGTAGACTTAACATAACATAAAATTCACTTGTATATATAGCCTTGATTGCCAAGGACAAGAAACATGCATAGAAACAAATTTTGATTGGGGGTGTTGTACTTTCCTTCTTTTGAAAGGAAAGAAGTGTGAGCATGGTTGGGAAAGTATTTGGTTGGCAACAGGATTGGGAAATATAATTGCTAGTGCACCAGGCACAGCCAAGCATAGCAGAAATACATTAGCTTGAAAGGGCTGTACAGAAAGTGTTTGTGCATTTTAGTCAATAATATGATTACAATACTGTACAGTAACTGAAGAATTTTCATCTTTTTCCATTCTTTTTGACATCATACTAAAAAAAATTAATTCTGTATTATTGTCTCATTATAGTCCTTTCATTTTAAAAATCTCCCTAAAACTGTAGCAATATTACTGAATTATGAATACAATCAAGCAAAAGTGCATGCTCCAGAAAAGTACAATACAGTATTCATTCTCTAAGAGTGCCTATTGAAAAAATAATTTAATAAAAGCGGCCTATGCTCTGATGAATACAAAGAAAAATCGTCTCTGAATTATTATTTTTTGCTTCTGCTTTCCGTTTAGGCATGGGACGAAACGTATTTGTCGTGGGATCCCGCGATGCGTCATTTGGCGGCATACCCGAAGCCGGCGGGAAAGGGAACGTTGGGCGGCGACGATGCGACCAACTTGTGCATTTCGGACGTGAGTCTCACGACGCTGGGCTTCCCGCAAAGAATGGCGGCCGGATCCAAGCGGAGGGCGTCGCAGCAAAACTCGGAACACGACTTGGAGGACCAGATCAACGAGTGGGCCAACATGACGGGGTTCCTCTGTGCCCTCGGCGGCATTTGCTTGCAGAGACAGAGGTGAAATGCTCAACTGAAGTTTTTATCCCTCGTTGAAGTGTCGATGTATTCATTTTATTTTATTTGTTTGAACGTGTCTGGATTTCTGAAAGAGAGAGAGTGAAGACTTTTTACTGAAGAAGTTTTAGAATCTGAGTTCCTTCAGGAAATTTTTTTTTCTCCTGAAACATTTCAGTAAAAATCTAGTTGTACCGTATTTTGAGCTGGAATTTTGAAAAAAAAATCCAAAAAATGCCTAGGCTTATACCATTTTAAGAATTTGAGGATATCAGTGCTGGCATGCAGGACATTAATTTTTATTCACATTATTGAAAGAAATTTACTCTATAGTTAATTAATTTGAATAATTTCCTGTTACATGCCTTGATGTTTTTTAGATTTTATAAGAGCAAAGATACTTGCAACAATTGAAGTTTTTCCCCTTGTTATACTAGTTTTGTCCCCTAGATTAAGAACCAATGAAAATTGCCAGAACCTTTATAACTTCTCAAATTAGTTTGCCTTGCGCATTTGATATTGTTCCGCTTGATGTTTTCATTACCCCGAAGTTTGTCTTCAGTCATTTTATTTTTTTCGTGCCGTTTCTGAAGCAATAATTTAATTTTTCTTCACTGCTGGAATCCTGAGGAATGGTTTGTGTATTGAACTATTTTTCGTCCAGTATTCGCTAATGTAATATTTATTACTGTACTTTGTTTCCGAATGGAATTCTGATGGTTTTCACTTTTCACGAAGATTTATATTTGACGGCATTTTTTTTTTTAGGAAACGTTCATCATTGGAACTTTGTGAACATTTTGCGATGTGCCTGCCTGATTTAGGCTTTCTGCTTGCCATTTTCTAGGATTGTAGGTTTACTTTTAGGATTTAAACTGTAAAACTTGATCCCCGAATTACTGTTGAGCGATGTGAAATTACGCGATTATCGTTTCGTTTGTAATTGATTCTATTTATTGGAATGTGTTCGATTATTAATTTAGTGTACAGTATTTTCAAAGCGCTTGATGTGTTTTTTTTTTTCTCGTATTCTTCGCGTGTGCAGACCTGGAGTAGGGAACACGTTGCCAGCCTTTTCTTCGAGTCTGGACTCCAGGGCAGGTCCGGGACTGCTTGTCAATGGCGGCGGGGCGCCTCACGGAAGTGCGATGAGTTTGAGTGTGTCTGCCAGTGTGTCAACTTCAACGACGAGTTTGTGTTCCGTAGGCACCACACCTACCATGCCGGCTGCAAGAATGGCATCGAATGCTTTCCAGGTAACGCCTCAGTATTTTCATCAATACTAGGCACTAATTTTAACGTGTTTCGGATTTATTTTTAATGCAACATGCGACTTTCCCTATCTTGGATTTTTTTTTAGATTTGGCAAATTACTGTACCTTTAAACCCGTTACACCGTGAATTTTTAAATGTTGCTTTGTTAATTTCTTCTTCGTCGGTGGGATAAATGAGGCAGAATTCGGAATCTTTTTTTTATTTACTGTTGATGACTTTGACATATGATCAGACATTGAAAAGAAGAATACTGTATTAACCTTAAGCCTGAAGATTGAGGCTACCAAGAGTTAACTTGGTTCAATTGATTTATTTATTTTTTCCTTTTAGTGTTACCGGTACCAGGACTCACAGTATTGCGCAGTGACTCAGTTCGTCGGTCAGCTCTTGCGTCTCCTCGTCTGCAACAACGAGAAATTCGGCAACAACATTCAGAAGCACGTGAAGGAGCTGGTGGGCCACGAAATGGCGCCGGCGCTGTACCCGATCCTATTTGAGCAAATCAAAGCCGTCGTGGAAAAGTTCTTCGACGCCCAGGGCCAAGTCGTCGTGCTGGAAATGAACACCCAGTTCATCGAGCACATCATCTTCATCATGAAGAACGTGCTGGAGAACAAGACTGAGCATCCCGCGGAACACCTGGGCGTGACGCCGATTGACGGGATGATGTTGGCGATCGTGCGCTACGTGCGACATCTAGACTCGACCGTGCACGCGTTGCACATCAAGACCAAGCTCTGTCAGCTCGTGGAAACGATGATGCAGCGCCACGATGATTTGACTTTCCGGCATGAGATGAAGTTCCGGAACAAGATGGTGGAGTACTTGACGGACTGGGTCATGGGTAACTCGCACCAGATTGCTGCCCCTGGCGGGCAGGGAGACGTCACGTCCATTACCCGTGACCTAGACCAGGTGAGAGATGGATTTCAGTCAGTCGTGGTGCAGTTGTTGTCGGGGACGGCTCTGCGTTCGTTTGTGATCCAGCTACAGTATTGATCATGAGAAATCTCGCCGTGTGACAGTTTGATGTCTTGTGAGCTTTTCGTTTTGTTTGCAGTTGTGTGTTCGTAGGGTCGTGGAATTTCGTTGAATTCCACGAGTAGTTGTTTTTCATGATGAATCTCAGAATGAGCGTGAGCGTATCCCTCATGAGCATGAAAATCGTCATTGGAAGGGAAAATTCTGGAAATTTCAAAAAGAGGCATTGATGTGAAATGTCAATATTTAATATTGGAGCAGTGAATGCGAACATTCTCCAAATATTTAGTTGCGTTTAGTGGCTACAATTACTTCGTGAAAGTTCACGTTATCAGTCACTGTGTTGTAAGGAAAAAGTGTGAAAGTTGTGGAATTTTTTGTTATAAGCCATAATTTCAACCACGGTGTGTAACATGGTGACAAAGTTAGGAATAAATTCAAGACAGGAAATCTGAAACTGGACTCATCACCCTGCGAACCCTGCGCGGAAGTACTTGACAAAATTGTTAACCAAGTTGTGATCGGTTAAAACAACACTGCTCGCTTCTCAGCTTCGTACATTAAAAATGGGGACAAGGCTTCGCAAAAATCCAGAAGATGTCGAATATAAACTACTGAACTGCAAGTTTTTTGCTTCTTTCAGGCGTGTATGGAAGCTGTTGCAGCGTTGCTCCACGGGATGCCGCTCCAGAGCGAGGAATGCGATCGCGGAGATTTGATGGAAGCCAAGTCCCAGCTCTTCCTCAAGTACTTCACGCTGTTTATGAACCTGTTGAATGACTGCAGCGAGGGCGGCGTGGGTGCAGCGGGGGCGTCTGCAGGCGTCGCTGCTCAACTGGGAGTCGCCAGCGTGGTGATAGAGAATCCGCAACGAGGCCCGACAGTGGCGCCCACTGCCTGCGGCGCCGCTGCGGTTGGTGCTGGTCCCGGCGGGGATGTCGCTGTGGGCACTGCCGTGATGCCCGGAGCCTTGCCCCTGGGCCATGCGACCCAAACTGTCCCGATGGTCGTGGGGAGGATGAGTGGGCAGCGACAGTCGACGTTGCGGAACGCCACGATTCAGGCCATGTCGAACTTGCTGTCGGCGAATATTGATTCGGGGCTCATGCATTCCATCGGGCTCGGCTACCACAGGTTGGCGGAGTCTTTTTAAATTTTTTCATTTGCGAATTCGTTTTCTTTTCTTGCCTGGTGGCAAAATAAAAAAAAATTTTTCAGTGAATTACCCGGCTTTACTCGAGTTAGACCCTTACCGGGGTTTTTTTGAAGGGGAAAATTGTGATGAAATCCTATCCCCGAGTAACACGCGCACCCCATTTTTATTGACTATTAAACTTGAATATTTCAGAAATAAGAAACCGCAAAATTTAAACTTGGGCATGCATTGAAGATGAATTTGTCTAATTTTCAATTTCGTTTTTCATTAGAATAGGTTTTTCTACTAGACATAGTCTAAAATATCATTTTCGAATCAAATCTACGTACAGTGCACCTAAAATTGAAAAACTGTTCGAGAAATTTGTGACGTTAAATTAAGTTTGAATAATAATTTATAATTAAAATAATTATTAATTATAATTACAGTATTGAATTGGGTGCCTGTAACGCGCACGCCTTTATTTTTTTTCTCAAATTTGCAGAAAAAGGTTGTATTGTGCCCAAATGATAAAAAAATAACAAAAAACGCAAGAAGAAGCACAAAATCATCCTATTTCGGATTATAAAATGAATTCATAATAATTTTTCGTTCTCATTTTTCTGAGAGTGAATGGCTAAATTTGTTCATACGCTAACACAATTTTGAAAAAGAAAATTGTTCCATTTGTCTAGAAATGTTGGTGGAGTGTCCTTCGCATGACTCATTCTCTTCAATTTTGGGTTGGATTTTTCGCGTGTCCGTATGTCGAGGCCACACAATATTCTGAACTATGAACTTGAAAATTGAGTGTAGATGTGTAAATAGGGATTGAGGGGAATTTATTTATTTCGGGAATTCGAAGTTAAGCAAAAGACTGGCTGAAGGATCATCACCTAATGGGATGTCAATGAGGAAGGTGGGAGAACTTGGCTAATTTTGTTTTGCCTTACTTTTTTTCTCGTGCTGGAAAAAAAAAGATTATTATTACGTCGTCGAATCTTTTTGGCCTCAATTTCTACAGGGACTTGCAAACTCGTGCGGCCTTCATCGAGGTCTTGACCAAGATTCTGCAACAAGGAACCGAGTTCGACACGCTTGCAGAAACTGTTTTGGCAGATCGGTTTGAGCAGCTCGTGGGGCTCGTCACAATGACCGGCGACAAGGGCGAATTGTCGTTGGCAGTGGCCCTGGCGTCCGTCGTTCCGACGTCGCAGCTGGACGAGTTGGCCCGGGTCTTGGTCACCCTGTTTGACAACCGGCGGCTTTTGTCCTCGCTCATGTTCAACATGTTCTACAGGTTACCTTCCGCGTTAATTTTTTTTGTGGTGGATTTTTTATTTCGTTTAAAAATTAAAAAAGAATCATCGCAATATGCGGAAACTCGGTGTACAATATTTTGCTTGTAATTTTTCTCAATTTTTTTTTTGCGAATGTATTTTTGCAGCATCCGAGGTGAATTCATGGTTGAAATATTTCAGAACGCAAAAAACTTGAAAGGAAAATTTTCTTGACTAGAATTCAAGCGATCAACTAAATTTGCAAAATGCAAAAGATGTGATGGCAGTTTATTTTTATTTTTTTTTTATTTTTTTCTTGTTACTCGATGCATTTTCAACACGTTTATATTTTTTCCCCACTCCCACAGGGAAGTTGAATTCTCCGACTGCATGCAGACGTTGTTCCGTGGAAACTCGCTGGGCTCCAAGATCATGGCGTTCTGCTTCAAGATTTACGGCGCAGCCTACCTGTTCAATTTGCTGAAGCCCCTGATTCGGCCCCTGATTGACATGCCGAATGTGAGCTATGAAATCGATCCGGCGCGTTTGGGACCCAACGAGAGCCTGGAAACCAATTACGAGAACTTGCTGACGCTCACGCAAAAGGTGTTTGATGCGATCACGTCAACTGCGGAACAATTCCCGCCACAGTTGAGGTCCATGTGCTATTGTTTGTATCAGGTGCTGAGCAAGAGGTGAGAATGACGCGTTTTTGTTGTTGAATTTTATTAATTTTTATGGGGGAAAAAGGGACGAAGAAGAAGTTGTACGTGATCACTTTTTTTTTAATGTTGAATGTTTATTGCGTAGATGATATAAGAAAATAAATTTCTTTTCTTATTGGGTTTCTCGAAAATGTTCCGAGTTACCCGCGAAATTTCACGAGGGGAATCATGGCAACTGAATGAATGAATGTTTTCGTCTTGCATCTCGTGGTTTTTTGTCAAACCTTGTCCCGATTTCCAATGTTAGAAAATGGGAATAGGAACAGAAATTTCAACAATGAAGATTTGGGTAAAATGTGTGTCCGATGCAGTCAAAGTAATTCCGCGCCGGGGCTCTGGATTTAGAGAAAAAAGTATAACTCATATTCCCATTCATTCAATTTTTAGAATATAGATATTTGAGACATGCCTTTAAATTCCGTATCACAAGCGTAAAATTGTTGAGATCAGAATTGTTAGGGATTGTAAAGTTTTAAAGCTTTCAGAACTTCAGCAGATTGTTTCAGATCAATTTCAATTTTTATAAGATGAAATGAAAAAAGCAGTTCTCAGCCAGGCTGAGGCCGGGTTGCTTGACACCCTAGTGTAAGGTTTGTATATTTAGATAAGAACGCAGATTTTCAATGATCACAATGCAAAAAGCCAACAAGAAGTTAGACGTCTTTTGCATGAGACTGACCCAAAGCAATTGATGATGCACAGAATGTATGTTCAGTATTTGAACCCCTTTTCTGGGCTAGATTTTGTCCCTGAAGACTGATTTGTCTTAGGAAATCCCTGAGAATGAAAAACCCTTGTGGGAACTTGAGGTCAAATTTGGTCCCATGGAATTCTGGACAGATTAGATGTTTCTCTCAAAAATCTCTTCCTACGCTAATCTTCCTCAATTTTAACTACCTATTTCTAATTTCCAACAAGAATTATGGTTGAATTTTGATAACTTGAATCTTTTCAAGTCAATTACTGTAAACCTGCTTATGTTGAATTGATTTTGAGTCCCCCTCTTTCCTTAGCAGCAATGCATTAAAAACCTTTGTAAAAGCTTTCCCACCTCAAACTTCCATGACTCAAATTTTGTGGAGTCCTTTTAAACATTATTAAATTGACACAGAAGAGAGAAATACCAATAGAAAATTCAACTTTCTGTGTTCCAAACTGAAGTTAAAGACTAATTGAGCAAATGAACCCATGCCTCCAAGTCCTGCTTCTTGTCAACTCATTTGAGCAGCAATTCAAGTCCAAGAATATGACCAATCACAATTTTCTGCAATTCTTCTTTCTTTCCCCCGACGAAAATGCTTCTTTCCTTATTTCGATTTTTTTTCTGTGGAATTTCGACTTGAAGAGGTTCTATATTACAGTATTGCTATTTTTCCATTGGTTCGTGGGTAGGTATGGAAAATAAATTCTGCATCAATGAGTTTTTGTATGAAGAGAGTTTATCTCTGGAAAATTTGTGCAAATTTTGATTCATTTTCTTTTCAGATTCCCGAACTCGCCGCAGAACAATATTGGAGCAGTTGGAACGGTGGTGTTCCTGAGGTTCATCAACCCAGCCATTGTTTCACCTTACGAGACTGGACTGATTGAAACACAGGCGCCGTCGTCGGTCAAGAGAGGGTTGATGCTGATGAGCAAAATTTTGCAGAATATCGCGAACCACGTTGAATTCTCAAAGGAACAGCATATGCTGACGTTCAATGGTTTCCTGGCTGCGAATTTCGAAACTTGTCGCAGGTATGGTTGAGGCTGTTTACTTTTGCATTCGTTGGACTTGGTCTCTTTACGTGTAAAAAACGACGTTGGGAGCATGCAATTCCGAACTGGAGTTCAACGATTTGAATAATGCGAGAAAATGATTCTAAGATTAATATTTTCTGGGTATTTTCGTATTAAAATGACATTTCTTTTTTCTGCATCGGGTCTCGACTGAATTTTGTTGCATGTTGTGACGTCTACGTCCAACACGTTGATGCAGAATTTTGCTTTTTTAGACTCTTCGTTCGGATTTCAATAGAAGTTTCTAAATATCTCTCAAAGGAATAAAACCAGAAATCCCCAAATTTTTTGCGCGAATTTCAAACAGTGTTAGTCTCAAAAATAGCTAGGAACAAATTAAAAATATTTTTTTAGTCTCTTCATTCAGATTTCAATAGATTTTTCTAAAGGAAAAAAATTCATCATTTTAATTAATCAAAGCAGGAATCCTTAGTTTTTTCGCGCGAATTTTCTGCAGTGTTTCTCTAAAAAAAAAATGTACCACACGTTACCTTTATTGAAAAATGTTTGATTTTTTTAGAATCTTTTTTTCCGATTTCAGTAATGGTTTCTAAGGAAGCAAAATTGATTGTTCAAATAAAACCAGAAATCCTATATTTTTTGTTCGTCTTTTTGCGCGAATTTTGAGCAGTGTTCGTCTCAAAATTAGTTCAAAACATGTCGATGAAAAAATGCTTGCTTTCTTTTCAGATTCTTCGTCCAGATTTCCATGGATGTTTCAAACGACGACCAAGCAGCGCACAACATCTCGTTCATCTCCGACGCCAACGTGCTCGCATTGCACCGTTTACTATGGACTCATCAGGAGAAAATTTCTGCATCGGGTCTCGACTGAATTTTGTTGCATGTTGTGACGTCTACGTCCAACACGTTGATGCAGAATTTTGCTTTTTTAGACTCTTCGTTCGGATTTCAATAGAAGTTTCTAAATATCTCTCAAATGAATAAAACCAGAAATCCCCAGATTTTTTGCGCGAATTTCAAACAGTGTTAGTCTCAAAAATAGCGAGGAACAAATTAAAAATATTTTTTTAGTCTTTTCATTCAGAATTTCAATAGATTTTTCTAAAGGAACAAAATTCATCATTTTAATTAATCAAACCAGGAATCCTTAGTTTTTTCGCGCGAATTTTCTGTTTCTCTAAAAAAAATGTACCACACGTTACCTTTATTGAAAAATGTTTGATTTTTTTAGAATCTTTTTTTCCGATTTCAGTAATGGTTTCTAAGGAAGCAACATTGATTGTTCAAATAAAACCAGAAATCCTATATTTTTTTGTTCGTCTTTTTGCGCGAAGTTTGAGCAGTGTTCGACTCAAAAATATTTCAAAACATGTTGATGAAAAAGGCTTGCTTTTTTCAGTCTAAGAAGCAGGTCTAAAGGTACCTACAAAGTTTGCTGCTGGTTCGTCGCGTGTTGTAGAGCAAGTAGAGGCTGCGGTTGCACGAGCGTAACGTGGCAAATGATACCTGAGTAGTCCTCTTTTACGGGGAATACATGGCCAAGTCCACCAAGGACACAGGCATGGACCCCAAGGCGAAACTCAGGCCATTTGAGAAGCTAGCCACACTCCTGGCCTACCTCGGCCCTCCTGAACACAAGCCCCTGGATTCCCAATGGTCCAGCATGGACATGACGTCGTCCAACTTCGAAGAAATCATGTCCAAGCACAACATGCACGAAAAGGAAGAGTTCAAGTCGATCAAGAGTCTCAATATTTTCTACCAAGCTGGTACGTCAAAGGCTGGCAACCCCGTGTTCTACTACATTGCCCGACGGTACAAGATTGGCGAGACCAACGGGGATTTGCTCATGTATCACGTTATCCTCACGCTTAAGCCGTTTTGCAATAAAGCCTTTGAGCTGGTTGTGGATTTCACGCACACGTGTTCGGATAATCGGTTCCGGACGGAATTTTTGCAAAAGTGGTTCGTCGTTTTGCCCGGAGTCGCGTACGAGAATATCCAGGCTGCGTATATTTACAATTGCAACTCTTGGCTTCGGGAATACACGAAATTCCACGAGCGATCCATATTGTATCCGATCAAGGGAAATCGCAAGTTGATCTTTTTGGACACGCCGCAGAGATTCACGGAGTTTGTTGATATTGACCAGCAGAAGTTGCCCGGAGCTACGACTTCGTTGGACGAGGATCTGAAGGTGGTTTTTTTTTCTTCTTTTAGTTCTAAATTTTTCTGTTTTTTTATTATTTAAATTATTTCCCTATTCGTTCACGAGCGCACAAAACTCCAGCTTTTACTACTCCCTACACCTTCTAAAACTGCCTGCAGTTTGGAAACTTACAACCCTTAACTCATCTAAACCCCACTGCTCTAGGAGTACGAAAATTCAACTTATTGAATAACTATAATATTTTGGTTGAATTTGACGCTATGTGCAATATTAGTGATGCAAAACTTTAATACCATTCATGTTATTCTCAATTTTTGGCATAAATTCGTGAATTGAAAATTAATAAGGGTTGCTTTTTATTAATCCTGACAAGTTTATATTTCTTAATTTTACAAATTTCACTGACAAGAAGAGACTAAAATATACCCTTGTTTATTCTTTTGCTCGATTTTTGTGGAAAGTTTTAAAGTTTTAGCCCAAAACTTGCCAAAATTCAGGTGTTTTCCATCCCGAAACTTTTGTACACTTGAAAAATTTATTTATTTGAGTAACGTTTTCCCTCTAAGAATTTTTCGTTGTGTGAGTCTGTCGTTATGCGGGGATTTGTCTTATTTTCCGGTTGGATTGGAAATTTCATTAGCATCATCGTTCGAGTAGATGAACGCAAAAAGTTGTAAGGTTTTCAGGGTTGGCTCGGAAAAAAGTTTAACATGAGTAATTCAAAGTTGCCGATAATTTTTTGAAATATTCTACATCGATTCAAACGGAAGATATGAGCATTCTTGTATTTGATATTTTAAAAAGCTCGACTGTGCTAAAGGGAAACAAAGAATAACTGAGACTTTCTATAAAGAGAACGATTAAGACCAAAGGGCAACTGCTTCCACAAGTTGTTACGCGACTTTAACAGCGTGTTTCTGTGCTTTCACCGGTAGTTTCAGGGGCCTTCCGCCATTCAGATCACTTCAGCGGAGAAGACCAAGGTTTTGGGACACTCCGTGCTGCTCAACGATGTATATTACGCGGCGGAGATTGAAGAAGTTTGCCTGGTGGACGACAACCAATTCACTCTGACGATCGGGAACGAAGCTGGGCCTTTGTCATTCATTCATAATGATTGCGATTCCATTGTGCAAGCCATCATTCACATACGGTTCGTTTTTTTTTGGAAAGCGCTTTGTTTGGCATTTTTCAACGTGTTATTTTGTTTTAAATTGGGATTTTGGCGGTTTCAGTGGCGTGAAGAATTCGAGGAATTGTTCAATTTTGTTTCAACTCCTAATGTCTCTGATGTCGTAATTTTCTTTGCGAGTACTAAAAATAGGTGTCGCCCGTATTTTCCTGCGTTTTGTTTGGCCAGGATAGGTAACAAACTTTTGGGGACTTCAGAAAAAGTGTCTGCTACTGAATAATTTGTTATAATGGCATTTTCAAAATTAATGGCTGGAAAGCATTTTCACATCAGACCTACCTGTAATCAATTTTATCTTGTTTCTCTGGAATTTTCATATTTGAATTATGATTTGAATCTACTGAATAATTTGTTATAATGGCATTTTCAAAATTAATGGCTGGAAAGCATTTTCACATCAGACCTACCTGTAATCAATTTTATCTTGTTTCTCTGGAATTTTCATATTTGAATTATGATTTGAAAAACTGAGTGTGATCTGAAAAAAATGATTCACTTCAATCATGCCCTCCATCAGTTGCGCCAATCTCTTCATTCTGGAAGGATGAATGAATGAACAGAGAGCGTTATTTTCTGCTTTTCAGTGTTCACAAGGTTCAATCAACATTCCCACATCCAAACCCCCTCCCCACCCAACTCAAATCCATTCAAACGCAATCACTTCAGAATGGGAAACGGAGAAAAAAAGCTATATATGGATATCAAAATAAAAGAAAATACATTCCACGATGTACAACTGCACAACTGATGTGTATGCATACACCCCCTTCTTTCCATGACATTGAAAACAAAAATATCAGTGACAAGAATTGCAGCATGAGCCAGAATTATAGCAATTTCAGCAGTTACTGAACCCAATTTAAAGCAGCCTGTTCCCAGATAAGGTTTAGTTGAATAAAAAATTTAGAGAGCATCTTTGATGAGAAATAAGACCAACAGTTTCTTGATCCTCCATGATATCAGAAAGGGTCTCTTCATTGAATTCCAATACTTTTAAATCTTTCTAAAGCTCATTTCTATCAGTATGGAATGCTGGGCATAAGAAGAGAAGGTGCTCTGGCAATGCACTGACCGATGTATTTATGGGAAGATTGTTTGTGGAACTACTTGTAAGCATGTTTTTTTATTGATCCCAGCTTCCATCCAGGCTACAAGAACCAATCAGTTTATTAGGGCTCAGAAATTTCAGACTGTGTCTTCATTGTAGTCAGGAATTTTCTACCTGGAAAATCTGTTGAACATTCCCCGTAAAAGTTTGTTGTACTGTACTGGAATTGGGAAATTTGTTATGATGATATTGTTTCAACATGCATGGGCTTTCTGACAGGACTTGGGAAAAAGTTGGTTATACTGAGAANCAGCCTGTTCCCAGATAAGGTTTAGTTGAATAAAAAATTTAGAGAGCATCTTTGATGAGAAATAAGACCAACAGTTTCTTGATCCTCCATGATATCAGAAAGGGTCTCTTCATTGAATTCCAATACTTTTAAATCTTTCTAAAGCTCATTTCTATCAGTATGGAATGCTGGGCATAAGAAGAGAAGGTGCTCTGGCAATGCACTGACCGATGTATTTATGGGAAGATTGTTTGTGGAACTACTTGTAAGCATGTTTTTTTATTGATCCCAGCTTCCATCCAGGCTACAAGAACCAATCAGTTTATTAGGGCTCAGAAATTTCAGACTGTGTCTTCATTGTAGTCAGGAATTTTCTACCTGGAAAATCTGTTGAACATTCCCCGTAAAAGTTTGTTGTACTGTACTGGAATTGGGAAATTTGTTATGATGATATTGTTTCAACATGCATGGGCTTTCTGACAGGACTTGGGAAAAAGTTGGTTATACTGAGAAATTTTTTTTAATGGTATTTTTGTAACAAGATTTTACTGTATCCGTTGGGGTTATTTCAACACAAGTTTGTGATTCAAGCAAAACCCTCTTGACACCTAAAAAAAAATTCAATTTCACGATTTGAAATTGATTATGTTGTGGGATGTTCTGCTAAAATTCTATGTATGTATTTTCGCACAGAACGAGATGGGAGTTGTCGCAACCGGACACGGTGACGGTGCATCAAAAGATCCGTCCCAAGGACGTCCCAGGCACGCTACTCAACATGGCCCTGTTGAACCTGGGCTCTTCGGACCCGAGTCTTCGCACAGCCGCCTACAACCTCCTCTGCGCCGTCACAGCCACCTTTGACCTCCGAATCGAAGGCCAGTTGTTGGACTCCGTCAACGGCGACGACGAACAGCCGATGATGGACGCCGCCCCGTTCCGCGACATTCAAATGCGAATGAAAAAGAGCCACTTGTCCATCTACTTCACCGAGG